CGGCATGACATATTTATATTCTTTTTTTTTTCTGTTTTTCTGGCGACACTAGTTGAAATAACAGATTATGTTTGAATGCTGGCTACATTGTACTGGCATAATGTGTTATTGCAAACTTTTCAAAATATGATCACTCAGTCTTGGTTATCTGGGATCTTATGCGTTATGTATTATGCAAAAGTCTGTGCTTAATACTATATGTGTAAAAAAATGTTATGTTAGATTTAAACGTATTATAGATTGTTTATGTATTGTAGGGGGGGCTTCCAAATCGTAGTCTAATAGTTTCATTACATTCTTGAGCCTTAAAAATGAAACACACACCAGTGTATCAAAGATTGCCTTCAAAAGCGTAAATTTATTGAAAAATCCACAAATCACCTTGGCACATTCCAAGAAAACTTTCTTCAGTCATATCAACTGTAAACTTGTATATCATAACTTACCACGGAATCCACATGTGACCACAATTTTCAAACCCAATTGTATAAGTTATGACGTTAAGAGTGCGTAATTTAAAATGCATTGTAAAATTGCATTGTAAACCTGGAAAGAAATACAAGTCGACCTCAATCAGGTAACCTTTGCGCTGTTTACTTAAAACCATTAACGCGTGTAGATTGGTAGTTTTTAACCTATTTCAGACATGTTCGTCAATATAAGATAGTATGTGCATGTGTGAAAAAAATACATAAATTTTCATAAAAGTTTTTCATAAAACTACGGTGGATTAGCCCATATATGTCTGATAAAATTAAATTAAAATTTTTTTAATCTCTTTAAGATTGTATATAAATATTAAACTCTTTGATATCAAAGAACAATATAGTAATATCTACATATATATGTATTTTATATCATAATGATAGTCTTTGAAAGAAAAGTAAAAGACTTTCTTCTTTACACGCGGTATTCTTCAGCTCTATACATATAACTGAATATATGAAAACTTTAATTTATATAACGTAATTCTCACAAATATTTGATTAAACTTCTCTTTATTTTGTTATAAGCTTTTATAAGTATAACATATTCATATTTAATAGTGTTATAAGAAAGAAAATTAGCAAATGTAAAGCACAAACAATTTATATAAAAGTAGATGTTTTCACAAATTATTTAAAATCATGATGAATCAGTATTTATGCGGAGAGAAGGAAACCGGAATCATTACAAAGGAAGGAAGCATAACGTGGGTTGTCTTATCTGTAATGTGTTTCGTTCGCTACGATAACAGAACATTTTTTTCTCGTCTCTTTTCAGGGCAGTGTTTTTAAAATCTTTTTTTGTGTTTGAAGATAAACGTCGAACCAAAGATTATCGAAGAACTATGGCCATTCCAAACTTCACTGCTAGTACTAAAAATGTATAATATATGTGACATAAACTATAAAACTGGTAATGAATTTTTTAAACACAGTTGAAAGCACTGCATGCAGTAGACGGAAGTGTATTTTTTTAATAAACTCAATAAAATATCTACTCTATAAAATATTTATACATCTATCTTTAAAATAACAATGTATAAATATATATATAAAGTATCAGAGCAGATACGAGCCAAAACACAGGTTGTACGTGTGGTTTTCCATTGAATATAAAATCTAGTTAAATGTTTGGTCTTTTTTTGAATCTTCTTCAGTGTAAAATTAATAAATACATACACGAAAATTTACAGTAATTTTGTTGATATTTTGTTTCATCTTCTCACAAGCTTTCAATTGTTGTCAATATATATATACATACACGAAAATTTACAGTAATTTTGTTGATATTTTGTTTCATCTTCTC